CTCTCTCTTGCTCACTAGTACTCTTTATCTCTTACTTGCACTCTCGGCCAATTCTACACTAGAAACTAGAAGTATTAATTAACTTTGGCTCTCTCTAGTGTGAGCACTAATTAACGCGTATATCTCATTGATTGTTACGCTACGTTTGTGTGGGTTTGTGTGGGTGTGTGTATATACATAATAGATGAGTGTATAAGTGGATCTTTTAAAATCGCGACCGTGCAAACTGTAGCCACACGTATAGCTTTGTTTGCCAACAGGCAGGGATACGCAGACATTCTTTTACATTCACAAAGCAAAGGATAATACTCGGAGAGGCAAGTTACAAAACATAAAATAACTCGATGTAGAGAGCTAAGCTCTCTTTCTCTCTCTCTCTCTTTCTCTCTTCGGTAGCGCGTATATAGCGAGGGCCACGCTTTATTACTAAAGTTTGTTTCTCGAGGCAGCCTCTCTCTTTCTCATTCTATCTGCTCCCTACTTTCCATAATTAACCTTTTCTACGCAGCGACGACAAACCCAGAGCTTTTTTTCGCTGGATAATATATATCTACTTAGCGGCACCTTCTCCGCCACGTACATATAGCGTACGCGGATGGGGCGCTACCTACCCAGTAGTTTCAGTTTGACCGCGCGCGCGCGCGCGTCCATTACGAATTTATGAAATTCAGATAGGAGAAGTTAGTCGCCGGAATATATACTTCGTTACTGCGAGTCCAGGCCATCTTTTTCTATCTTACACGTGGCTGGAGAAAGAACAGTTCCCACTCAGCCTCGGCGCGAAAGCTCTATATAACAGTTTTTAGGCGCTCTCTCTCTCTCTCACTCTCTCGTTCTCCTAAGTGGAGAGGGAATTTACTCTTTTGCGGCTGAATTTCGCGCGCGCAAACACGTGTGCTCTTGTATGCATATACAAGCTCGAAAAAACATATTCCCGGCATTAGGCCGCAGCTTGCTAGCTGCTTTTAAAGAAAGTTTATTGTCTTTTCAAAAATTAATTTCATGAAAGGCTTATACCAGAGAGAGAGAGAGAGAGAGAGAGAGAGAGAGAGAGAGAGAGAGAGAGAAAGAACTGGAGGAGCACGTAAAAGTTACAAATATGAATGCAGTCTGTACATAGTTGGGCTAAATTTTTATGAATTCCTGGCGGTTTTTTTTCAAAATAACTTGGGCGCGCGAGACTCGGTGAATTTATTATATTCGCGAGACAAGAGTGCTTCGGCTCGGTGCGCATATTAATAATGATAACTGAGTGCAGGATTTATTTGTGCAGTGTCGTACTCGACAATGCATAGCGAGTGTAAAAGGATCTTATTGTTGACAAAAGCAAAAGATGCAGCGTCGAAACAAAAATTGAGCCGTCGACGCGCTGGTCCAGTCGAAGTACTCCTGCGGCTCGAATTGGGTTTGCTCAGTAATGCGCAGTAGATGCACGGAGCTCGCGTCACACACACACACACACACACACACACACACACACACACACGGCGCGACGCACAGGCCATTCATTTAATTAATCCCTGCAGCCCCCAAAGCACAATGTCGCGCTACTACCCGCATATTTCGCGCGTAAATTATATAATGACGTTCGCTCACACGTGAGCGAGCTCGTACAGACACGCTCTCTCTCTCTCTTCAAGAGTTACATTATGTTTTCTCTAGCACGGATGTACAACGCGTGTCCGTGTGTGTCAGAAAGCGACGAGGAAAGACAGCGCGCGCGAATATACACGTACTCTTTGAGCTTTTCACGTGAGCGTCGGAAAAAGCTGCTGCCGCTGCCGCTGCCACGCTCTGTGTCAGTCAAGGACTGTTTGAGTGCGCATATGCTATTTTCACTTTATTTAAATATTCATCAGTTAATTAAAATTCTTTCAAAGAGCAGCGCGGCGCCAGCCAGCTACCTTACTTGCACTTGCACTGCGTGGGATGGCACACACACGCACATCTCTAATGCGACTCACTCTCTTCAGAGAGGGAAAACGAGAGGCCCTTTGGCTTACTTTTGCGCCTATGTACATGGATACCTATACGCCAACGCACAGCCGTATAATAAACAGAAAATCCAAAGGTGTTTTCTAAACTAGTATCGAGTAAAGGCGCCACTTGCGCAACTACTTGAGCGAGCTCGCTCTAGCTTCCTCGGCTTCTTTTCGCTCCTCGTGCAGCTATTTATTTACTTCCATGATGCAGCGCAGCCTCGCAGGAAACAGACTATTTTCTCTTATCTCGCTCGTATTTATATTTAACGCGCGCGCGACTATCGCGCAGACTCGATGTCATCAGCGTCGTCGCGAGAGCAAAATCAAGAAGGAAAAAAAAGGAGAAACAGCAACATCAGATGCTCGTACTATTCAAAGTATCAAGTGGTGACTCTGTACTGGATTCGGCCTCACTGCAACATTATACGAGCGAGCGACGCTGCGCAATCGTTTACGCGTATATCGACTTTGACGCCGTCTACTCAGTTGCAGCTCGTAGAGCAGTAGATCGCAACGGCCTAACGATCGTGTTATCAAGCGATAACGCTATATAATATGTATTCCGTTGAAACTTTTGAAGATACTAATGAACGAACGTTTTAAGTACGAAACATCAGCTGGTGCAGGTCACTTGGATCGAATTAAGCCGTGTCAAATTGAGTCGTTTCGCGTTAACCAGAAACAAATGAAACATACACTGCACATAGTAATTTTTTCTTCTCGTTCGTATCATCGAGTCGAGTCGTGAAAATATGACGCAGAGCCGATTCGAGCGACGACGATCTGTCGACGGACGTGTAAAACAAGCTCTCGGCTCGTGCTAATATGCGTATATCATAAGCCGAGCTGGTATGCATTTTTAATGAATAAATTAAAATGTAATTATTTACGAGTCGTGCACGCGCGCCTATTTAATATGAAATCATACTCGAGTGCGCCTCTACTTCAGGGCGAAACGATACTCGCCTCTACGTTTCTCTTCGCTTCTCTCTCGCGCTCTACTCATATAACAATTACCAAATAAGCTCGAACTGCGCGAATATATTGTACATAAAATTAAGATATTCCGCAGCGGCTGCGCAGTGTTGCATTAGCAGCGTTCATAAATATATGCACTCGTTTGGCCCGCTGAATCATTAATACGGCATTAATACGCGCGCAGGACGTGGGCGCAAAAAAAGTTGAAAATTTAGGCACGGCTCCAACGAGATGTCTCTGGGGCACATTACATCGAGAGTTTCGATCTCGAATAACTGATGAATGAAATATTCAATTTATCAAATGGCAATATAATGCTGTTGCCCTCGCTATATGTATTATTAATAACGGCAACGGTTCTCGCATATAGGCGTAATACGCGGGCGAGAAAAAAGTAGATCGGCGAGGCGAGAGCGCGCAGAAAAACACGGCTATCCGTGGCGATAAGCTCTGGAAAATTCATAGCCGCGCGTGGATGCACACACACACCTTGTACAGGGAGTGAGAAGCTCTCGTCAGCACTACGTGATATACATATGCGCACGTTGGAGCGAGTAATACGGTAAATCAATTCTTCGCGCGAACTGCGCACAATACACTATCTCTCTCGGCTGTCTCTACGTCGCTCGGGTTTGCGTGGCGATTTTGCTGTGGGACATGCATCTCTAGCGAAGCTCTGTTAATACTCAAAATGACAAACGCGACGGCGAGCGAGGCCAGCTTATACATGCGCGGACGAGTTGCGGCGCGAAATAAAAGCAAATACGCGCGTCCGCGAAGCCACTCGAGACTGCATGAGCGCGAAGCGAATAGAGCAAAGGCGCGAAAATTATAAGCCGAGAGAGAGAGAGAGAAGTGCTCTGCGATATTGCGGCTAAACGCGCGTGTGTTGTGCGTCGAACGAGACTACGAGCAGCGCGCATGGCAAACAACACAAAGTGTCCATCAGCGCCGATCGTAAAAGCCACACTGAGGCGCGCGTGGGCGCGAGAATAAAGAAAGCCAGAGCAGCACAGGCCGAGTGCCACCCGAGTGCAGAGCGCGCGCATTGGATCTATATAGCCCAGCGAAATAAAAAACAAAACAGAGAAACGCGCACAAAAAGAGCGTGTTTGCCGCGTACATGGCGATGCCTGCGAAATCGTCGCAATTCGTATGTGTTGTAGCGCTTCAAAGCCAAGCTTTGTCTTTGAATGGGCCCCACTCGAGAATTCATAGCGTGGATTATGTCCTTTTGCGCGCGCGAGACTCTCTGCGTTCGTGCGGCTGCGTGTCTGTTGACGCGGCATTGTGCGCGACGCGCGCGCACACACCGACGAGCTTATACGATCGTCGAGAAAAAAGGACGGAAAATTTGTTTCGAGCGACCGACGAAACGAGGTAAATATAGCCGCGCTCGATACTACTGCTGCCTGCAACGAGCTAAATACACAAAAATGTAGACAACTTGTCGTTGCAGGCGGTACTCGACACTCCAAAGAGTTGGACGCGTGAATTTATCTATGAGCTTTTTGCACGCTCACGTCTGACAAAGCTCCCTGTTTTTCTATAATCATTCATAGCGTGCCTCGTGCCCTTCGATTTTCTCGCTCTCTTTTGTTTTCCGCTTGCGACTATGCGTGCGGTATATATTTACTCGACGCGTAGCTACTCCGAACGATGGATAATGCGTGCAAGCGCATAACGCCGTTCAAATTTCCCTTTTCGTTCATGGGCTGATGCATTATTTTTCTTTTTCGATGATTCGGCCGATGGGACGAGGAAATTATTTTTTTGCTATATGGCGAGAGATTTTCGCGGGAATATATTATTTCGGATTGTATGAATGCGCTGGGAGTGAATTTATTCCGTAAAAAAATTGGAGCGGCACTCGAATTCGGAAGAATAAGTATCTAAAGCATCATTGTTATAAGCACTCGAATTACATTTTCAGTCGAAAAGGTAATACTTGTGGTACAATCCACGATACATGTGATACATGTTGTATACACGCAATATTATATAGAGATTAAAAATAAAACTGGAAAAAGAAAAACTTACCTATAGAAACGAGGGTGAGCAGTAATAGCGAAGCAGAGGCAATTCTGCGGAAGAGCCAATCCATGGCTAGTCAAAAGAGGATAAAGATTGCTTGTAGGAGAGAGAGAGAAAGTGAGTGAACAGCTAGCGAGTGAGCGAACGAGAGAGGAAAAGAGTTGCCCGAGCTTCGTCGATAAGTGATCTGCTCTCAAAGACTGCTGCTGCTGCTGCTGCTGCTGTTGCCTCTTTCAGCATAGACGAAGACGGCGACGTCGCTGCTACTTTTTTGCGAGAAGCCGCTCATAGCTGCTGCTGCTCTCCTTTTGCAGTTGCTCCACTACGCCGTCGCCGACTCTTTATGCTTGCTGAAAAAATAAAAGGTTAACTTGTAAACATGACATCAGGTGAGTTGCTGCTTTTTTTATATATATATGCTAACGGCGTGACTTTGACGCGCCTCGATCTCTATATACCTTCCCATGTACGCGCGAGGATAGAGCATGATTCACAAAACTGGGCCAACCCGAGAAGAAGAAGAAAAAAAATCAGCACGCAGAGATTTTGGACGATGCAGCGGTAGGCTAAATATTCGCGATCGAACGAGAAGATAAAAATAATTATCCTTCCCTTGTAGTTGGAACAAAAAAAAAATTGGGAATATTTGCGCGGTTGGCCGCCAATATTTATATGCAGGGCCTGTCGTGACGATGATCGAAATTCTCAAGCAAAGCCACCGAAATCGGCTTGAACTACTTTCGAGTGCGACATAAAATAGAATATATTAGCCGAGTAGTAGTAGTAGAAAGTTCCACCGGCGTATAATAATTTATACATACACATACACGCGAAAAGCAGCCACTCACAGTTACAAGCGGCTCATGGCTTTTTACATACTGCACGAATTATTCAGTGGTTACATTACCCCGAAACTCGCGCGCGCGGCCAATACTCTTACAGGTTCGCTCAACGCATAGCCGTTTGTACAGGGCATTAAGCGTGAATATATATCGATTATATTGTTTGAAATTACGGGCTTTTTTCTTTCTGCGGCTGCACGCGCGAGCGATGCCTCCGGACGCCTCGGGGGCAATCTGCATTGTATAACAATCGCTCGGGTCAATGCGGATGACATCGATTCATTCAACATTTTGAAATGTTCCAGGCGCGAGAGCTACATGCAGGACGCGCGCTTCGTCATTCCTATCACGTATTCGGACGACGTTCCTCCCGATCGAGCTGTTTTTCTTCTCTTCTTGTTCGGCCTCGTCGTCGCGTCGCGTCGCGTCTGCAGGTCGTTGTCGCGCGCGATAAGTCTCGGCCTATACGCTCGCCTTTATTCGCGCCAAATTTATACCAAAGACTCTTTTTTCATGCTATAATAGCGATTACTGATCTTTTTTTTGTGCAATCGATCAAGAAAATGCCTAATACCGCGTAGATTATTTACACGTACGCCAGCCTCGAAGCAATCCTAGAAATACATGTTTTCTTTTTGAAAAATCTCAATCGAGTAGATGTTGAGAATAAGTAAAAGCTCGGGCTCAGAACTTGCCCCGAGGGGTCAGTTGGCTGGATGTATAACTTTTTCTTCTTCCTCCTGTATACGCGAAAAGAAAAAGTTATCAAACTTGAAAATCTTTTTTATAGTAGCTTCCACCAGTGAGTGGAAGATTTGCTTGCGCTAAAGTTTTATGAGCAAAAAATGAGCATACACCGGGGCTGCTCGCGCTACAATAATCAACATCATATATACGAATGAAATTTTTTCTTCGATTGGTTGTTTCGGTAGATAAGAAAACTTGTAGCAGCAGCTCCGTGTCCCCTTCCCGAACGAGCCGCCGCTGTTAATAATAGTTTGCTTTCGAAAACTTTTCGACATCTCGCCTAGCAGTTGAATAAATATTATTTAATTTTCTCATTAAACTAGTTTGGAGAAATGTTTACTTAATATATATGAACATTTTGTGCGCGTAAGCTGGTAGCTACGCGAAATTCAAGCCGAAAGTAGACGTGGATCCTATGACGTTTAATTTGCAATAAAAATATATGAAAATCACTCGAATGGAATAGTGGTAAGAATATCCAACAGTTGAAAGTACAAAAGATTTAGTTTTTTTCGTTTGCAAGTGCGTCCAAAATAACCTATTTATTTCAAATCAAATATTTCAAAGGATTCATGTTTAATCGTACAAATGAGGATAGAATGTAGGAGAAACGAAATAATTTTGAGCAATAATGATCAAGGAAAAACGAAGGTTCATAAGAGTTATAGAACTTATGTGGTGATCACGAAAAACGAGCTGCGTTTTTCATTTTCTAACGAACAATACCACGAGAGAGAGAGAGAGAGAGGAAGAGAAAGAAAAAAAATCATCCGCTGCAGTAGCTCTTTAAAAATGGAGAGAAAAATCGAAGCTCTAGTAATCCCGGTAATTCGAGGCGTGCAAAGTCAGAGGCAGCTTGCACGCGCAGGGCGGCAGTGCAGAGGCAGCCGAGCGCGCGTGTGTATAGCTGGGAGCTTTGTCGAGGCACGAGCGTGCGCGCGGATCTTTTCCAAAAGACCGAGCGCACAAAGCAGCTGCACACGCCTTTCTTTCGCTGTGCTCTCGGCAGCTCACGAGGAAAACGCCGTAGCCGTGCGCGAGGCCCCTAACTACGCCACCTGAGAAAAGTTCAAATGGCCGAATTCACCGTGAGAGGAACAGTGCAACCATCTTACCGTGCGCAGGAGTAGTCAACTGGGTATGGCTGCTGGCCCGTAGGCGTGTGCGTCAAATCGAGATTGAAATCGCCCGATTGCCCTGCTGGCACGTGGTTTGGGTATCGAGAGGCCTACAGTGTACGACGATCGTCGTCCGAAAAATTCTTACAGCTCGTCACGGGAATCACGGCGAATATTTTTTTATTATACTTTTTATATCCGCAGTGCGGCTTCTCTAGCATCAGCCGAGAGAGCGATTTTTAAGGAAAAAAACTTACGTGCGATTGTGCGAGATAAAAGTTGTAATTTCGAGCAATTATGTACGCGTGTTTTCACCGAGATCGAAATCTCATTGACCCATATCATCCGTTTCTTGTGGAGCCAAACTTTGTGTGTGATAGTTAAACAAGTTTGATAAGGGCAAAAGTTGCACTTGATAATTGCTTCGAAGCAGTTTTACTTAACTTGTAACTTATGTGTATATTACTCGTAAATTAGGTTCGAAGTAGCGTTGCGATATATCGACGCTTTTATGCTGCACACCCGTGTCTGCAGTTACAGGATTGAAAAAAATGTTGGAAAAAGACCTTGTGCTGCTGTTGCTGCTGCTGCTGATGTTACCATCGTGAACTTCGCCAAGTGAAAATCGCTTAGTCAATTTCAACTAAGCTCTTTGCACTCCACGCCTGACAGTCTTCTCTATATATAATATACTACTATGTACGTCTAATACGCTCGCAACGATCCGAGTTTTTTAGGGCATTGCACCTTGATACTTTCCGGGGCTTCTGTCATATTTCCATGCCGAAAAAAATGATCCGTCCGAGTTTCGACTGTAATCCCCGGTCGGCAATTTTGTTACGATGAAAGTAGATTACTCTTTTTCGATTTGCCCAAATGTTGGTTGTTACAATTATGTGCCAAATCGAGCTTCCATGCGTTTCAATTTATTCAAAGAGTGTAGACGTCGTAAATGGTTTACACCGTGACAGACAGGTAGAAAAAAAGAAAAAAAAGTAGAAGAAGAAGAAGAAATGAAGTGCCTATTATAAAGAGGATCGCAGGTAAGTGTTTTATACACAAGCGGCAACGAGTACGTGTGTGTACGGAAGAGTCGAGGGCCTATAGGATATATATACAGCGATGAAAGTTGCAACGCAGCCGCGACGTCAGCACGCGAGGCTGAGGCTGAAGGGTCACTTGAATAAAAAAGAAGTTCGATTAGCAGCTCCTAGGCAGTCGCGCGCATTCGATCTCTCGCGCCCAGTGCAGGCAGGGGCCCGGACGCGTACGAGCTTTATCTCATTTTCGACCTGCGTATTTTTTTTCTTTCTTTCGCCTTTAAATGACTCGGGCTCGGCGCTCGCGTGTACTTGTGTGGCTTTATACCCACGCGCGTATCCTTGCAGTGCGAGGGAGGCTCTTTATACGTGCATCTATACGTGCAGTACGTGCAGCGCATCGAGGGGGAGCACTACTTCATACACACGCACACACACACACACACACACACATGAAATTCACACACGCAGGCACGATGCATAATAGGCACGCGACACAGTACGTGAATTACGGCGCTTCGGTTTACTTTCGGAGACGAGGTGCAGCAGCAGCATGTCGTAAACAAACCTTTCCTAACGAAGTTTTGCCGAGCTTTTTGTCGCCTCGTTTTTTCCCTTCGCACCCTTGGATGACGATTCAACGAGCTGCGGAGTCTCGGTAAATTGCGTTCGCGCATTATAAGCGCGGCAAACTTGATTTTCCATCTCGATACGATCTCGTTATTGCGAAACGGCCGGCCCGGCTAGCGACTGTATGGCACTGCGGATGTAATACGTTTGAATTAAGGAGGCAATAATTTGGTTCTAGAAACAGCGGGAATTATTTCGGCCAGATGTATACCATATATATGCATGAGGATATATATATACGGTGTTGCCTCCCACTGCGTGCTGCGCCGCTTGGCCCTATGGATTCGCGGCTCAGCTATCCCAAGCATATGTTGCTTTTCGCGTGTACGTGTATACGCGACGACGACTACACAACCTCTACTTTTGTTTTTGCTTTGCGGCTCGCATGAATATATACACCTGCTCGTCTTTTTGGAAATTCCATATAGCTCGTAGGTGTAGCCTGGAACTTTTAGGAAATGCGCTCCTGGAAAAAGGGGTAAAAAATGCCCCCGAACTGGCTTCTCGTCGATAACTGAATTATTGTAATCCGAAGGTACTATGTTACTGCAATTGGATCAGGCTCGAGTTAGTCGATCGACTACGCGATAAATATATGTATATATATACGTGCATAAAACTCAAACTCATAAATTACAATATAACGAGGATGATGCGCTCATCGAGGCCGACTGCATATATCTCCTCGACAAAGTATTCATATGTACACGTACGCAGGCGGCTACATCCATGTGCGGCTATGTGCGCGGCTATGTGCGGTTGCCGACCGTACGTATATATAACTAAATTTTATGCATCGATGATAGCCCATTAACATGCTAAGATAAACTTGATTTTACTGCTCGAGAGAGAGAGAGAGAGAGAGAGAGAGAGAGCGAGTGCATGTGCCGTACGCGGGGGCGCATATAGAATTTGGACGTGTATCGCGTTATTATGCATATATACCAAGTTAATCGATATTTCAGATGAACTT